AACCCTCTCCCCTTTCCATCCCACCACTGTTTCCCTCACTTGCCCTCATACTTTCTCTCTCTAAGACTGAAGTGAAAGTTAACTGCTGCCCTCGGAGAAGCCATTGTGTGGTGCTTGAAGTGGCCTGCGAGTGGGAGACTTGAAGGCACCATGAGCATCAGGAAAGTAGGTTTAGCATCTATGCATCAATAAATTTTGTAGAAATCAATTTTAAGTATTGAAAGTGGGTAAGATGATAGGATGAAAATATGAGTGCGAATGGGTTAAAATGAGAGTGAAATTCCAGATTCGTGCCTTTAAATATCACGATTGATTGTGCAAGGCAAATAATATTTTAGCCATGAAAATTTGCGAAATAGTTCACTTGTGAGACTAGTGTAACATGGATAAGGTTTTGCATCAAGAGTTGTCTTGGTTTGTGAAATGTTAAGTGTCCTTCAAAGCATATTAAACTTGAGAATGTGAATTTCTAGACCTGTGACTGTTCTTGCATCGAATTTTTCAGTGACTAAATGGTATCCAAATGGGTCCAAATCGGTTTTGAATGAAATATATGCTCGTCTATTTCAATGTTGCTTTTTAACCATGTTAAAATTTCATATGGGTTAAGAGATATGCCAATGTAAGTTTATGTCACTCTCCACAGTTGCTGAGATTTCCAGCAACTGTCACCTATTTTCTGCCAAGTTTTTGACCCATCAAACGATGTCCAAATGCCTTCAAGCCACTATCATTTGAAAGATTTATGAAAGAGCTTAAAGTTGCATGTTAAACTCATTTTGAACCCTTAGATTGAGTGTTATGCCCCGAAATGTGAGGGTATATCATTGTTCGCAGTTGCAAGAAATTCCAGCTATTGTCACTCGCTCTATACTGAGCTTTTGACCAACCAAATGTCGTCCAAATACCTTCAAACTACTACAATTTTAAAGACCCACGTGTAAACCTAAAGTTGCATGTTTGAACCATTTTGATATTCTCCATAGATTAGGAGTTACGTATCTAAGAAGAGGGGAACATCACCACTACACGTTACAGAAATTTTAGACCTGTGCTCATATTGTGTTACCTTTTACTGGATCACTCACTAAGCAACTCAAGTGGCACATTGTTACCTTTGATAAGCGATAAGCGTGAGTGCTATGTGATAACTTTCATGTGATGAATACTAAATACCATAATGTTATGTGCATGATGCTATGCAGCTATGCGTTATGCAAAAATTGATAGATGCCATGCTATTGTGATAGTCCCATAATGAACGTTACATGACATGTGTCGTAATGCTAATGCTAATTGCTAGGAGTAAATACAATGTTATAGCTCTCATATAATGGGTGTTTTATTCTAGGTATCATAATGTTATGTGATTGCTGGATAGTTTTGAGTAATACTCAAACTCTACATGATGAAAATTTGAATTATCTGTCATAAGGCACCGATTTAGAATGAATGAATTAAATTTTTGAGCATGATATGACGCCGTGATAGTGACCACTACGTAATGGGATACCCATTGGCAGTGGGTATTGTTTTGTTATGGTACTGTGATGCTGGCCACTATGCCCATCAGTAGTGGATACTGTTACACTGATACTGCACGCTATGCGATGGGAGACCGATCGGTAGTGGATACTGCTACACTGAGAAAAGTGATGCGGGCAATATTCCCTAACTTGCTCATTGATAGGATGGGGTTAGGTGAAAATCGAATGGGAGAGTCGGACCCCCTTAAATTTATATGATGAGACTAGTGAGTGATGCCTTACAAGGTACGTGCCTATCGAAAACCCCAATGCGGGCTGGGGACCGTGTGCACGAGTATGAGGGCATTACGAAGTGGATTTACCTACTTATCATTGGCCTCCCTCTTGAGGTACAATAGAGGTCCTAAGCAATGGGATTGGCTTAGCTTGATGGATAGGGCCTCTACTTCGGGAGTAGGTGAATTAAGGAGTGAGTGGGTAATATATGAACAGTGAATGTGAATGCTGATAATTGTAATGATTGAATGATAGCTGACATTTGAATATGATGCATGTAATTGACGCATTGATCTGATTACTGATTTACATGACTGCTGCATTATGACTTCTTATAATGGGAAGAACTGCTTATGGTGCATGAATAGACTCGATAGTGATGCATAATACCTAGATCTACTGACTGGGCATTATAACTCATCCCCCAGTTTCTCCCCTCTTGTAGATTGATAGCGTCAGGTTGAGGGCTAGAAGCTCATGTTTTGCAGTCGTAGTTGAAGTGTTTTTCACTTGAGAAGAAACTCAGATCTTGTAGGTGGTTGGGAAGTTTAGCCCTAAATTTTGTGTATTTTTGAAAATATGTACTATATTGGGCCCTGTTGCCCCAGATTCAAGTGTAATATTTTGTGAAGAATTTGATGTAGTACATTTTTTTGGGTGTATGGATCCTTCCAATTTTAAATATATGTACACACTTGGAGTTATTGATTTAGTTCTTTGCCATGGTTTGCTTTTGACCACCGATGTAACTGTGTTGAGTGAACTCTGACTTGAGTGACATGAACTAAGTTGGGATCACGAACCCTCACTTGGTCACCCTCCATCGAGTATGTAATAGGGGTCGGGGACGGAGACGTGACAGTTATGGCATCAGAGCAGCCAGGATAGGATTCTTGGCCTAGGGAGTTATAGAAGAGTCCTTAGAATAGTTTTTAGGATAGATTAGTGACTGGGCGCTCCTGTGCTAGGTTGAAGATGCTGAGGGCTTGTGCCAACAATGTGAGTTCCAACAATGAGAACACCGAGATGCTCTGTGAGTTTTTAAGGACTCTGGGGGCAATGACTCAAATGATGAGGGAGTCGATGCCAGCCCAGTCTGCGCCTACCCAGAGCAAAATGACAGTAGCCTGATAGAAAGATTCAGAAGACTGGCAACCCCAACCTTCTTAGGGCAAGGAGGGGTAGAGAAAGCTGAGAGGTGGAGGAGACATATAGAGAAGGTTCTAGAAGTGTTACACTGCTTGGATGAGCAGAAAGTCAGGTTGGGAGCCTTCATGCTGAAGGGAGAAGCTGAATTTTGGTGGAACTCGATAAAACAGTCTTGGAGAGAGTCGGGAACCGAGACCACCTGGGATAACCTCCTGACGGCATTCGATGATAAGTACTTCCCAAACTCCATCAGGGAGAGAAAAGAAGTGGGGTTCATTGAGCTTCAACAAGGAGGCATGATAATGGAACAATACACCGCAAAATTTGCGGAGCTTACTAAATACGTGCCTCATATCAGTAACACAGAGGCGTGAAAGGCAGATAAATTTGAAAGGGGCCTTCGGCCGGACATTAGAGGGAGAGTACTGTCAACCAACCTTGAGTCATATGCCCCATTAGTAGACTTTGCTCTGAAGATTGAGAGAGATTGTGAGGGCCATCTATCAAGGAAGGAAAGATAAAGCCCACGCGATCGAGAAACTTTGGGAGGAAGCCCCGACAATTTTATAACAAGGATGTTAGAGGAGGGCCTTACCAGCGTAACCAGAGGGCCCAAAAGAATTTCTCGGGCAACAGAGAGAATGATCGACGCCCGCTCTGCCCTCATTGTGGGAAGGACAACCACACTGCTGTCGAATGTTATAAGAAGCAGAACATGTGCCTCAGGTGTGGCAAGGTTAGCCACTGGGTTAAGGATTGCCTATGACGAAGACAGAGGACCGACCAAAGACACACGGACGAGTATTTTCCCTCACCAAGCAAGAAGCTAAGGCGTCTACCTTGGTGATCAGAGGTACGCTTTCTATTTGCGATGCTAAAGCTAAAGCTTTGATTGACCTTGGTGTCTCTCACTCTTTTGTTGCACCTCATTTTACTTGCTATCTAAATGTGTAGCCTGCATCTCTTGATTTTACTCTAGTAGTATGCACACCTGTGGGGGATCTATGGAAACTGATAGAGTGTATAGATAGTGTGGAATTACAATTGATGGGTGACCTATCTGTAAACTTGATCCTCATAGATATTCAAGATTTTGATGTTATTCTGGTCATGGATTGGTTGTATACACACCATGCCACTGTCAATTGCCATTAAAACACGGCAACCTTTAGACGCCCTGACAAAGCTGAGCTACACTTTAAGGGCACTAGGGATACTTCCCCTCTAACCTTTATCTCTGCTCTCCCGCCCTCTCACCTTCTAGGTAAGAAGTGTGAAGGGTATCTAGCCTATGTAGTAGAGAATCAAGGCATTCAGTCTCAGTTAGAAGGGATACCAGTAGTAAGAGAGTACCCCGAAGTATTTCTAGAAGAGTTACCGTCCCTACCTCCAGTAAGGGAGATTGAATTTGAGATAGATGTACCAGCACTGTTCTCATTTTTAAAGCCCCGTATAGAATGGCTCCAGCAGATTTGAAGGTGTTGAAAGAGTAGTTGCAAGAATTATTGGATAAGGGATTCCTCCGACCTAGTGTGTCACCCTGGGGTGCACCAGTCCTATTTGTGAAAAAGAAAGATGGATCCCTGAGGCTGTGCATTGACTATAGGCAATTAAACCAAATAACAGTGAATAATAACTGTCCCCTGCCTAGAATTGACGATCTTTTTGACTAGCTCCAAGGGGCCAAGTGTTTTCGAAGTTTGATATTCAATCGGGTTATCACCAACTGTGAGTCAGGGAAGGAGACATCCCAAAGACCTCTTTCAGAACTCGATACGACCATTATGAGTTCCTTTTGATGCCGTTCGGGTTAACGAATGCCCCCACGGTGTTCATGGATTTGATGAATAGCGTGTTCAAACCTTTCTTAGATGATTTTGTAGTGGTCTTTATTGATGATATTTTGGTATATTCGAAAAGCTGGGAACTACATGAACAACATCCAAGAACTGTCTTACAGACTTTAAAGTCAGAAACATTGTATGTTAAATTAAGCAAGAGTGATTTCTAACTCCCTAGTGTATCCTTCCTTGGGCACATCGTTTCTAAAGATGGGATCACGGTCGACCCCTTCAATAAGGAACTTACCAAGGCTGAGACACGCCTATATAGACTATGTCTTTCCATTGCTTGATGCAAACAACCAACTAAATTCTTCCCTGCCAATCCAGAGTCAACATGTCTTTATTAGCAAATTTTCAAGGGAGAAATCTAATTGCATAGAATATCAAGAAACTGGGAAACTAGCTCAAGATATAAGAGAGAACATTTAACAATAGCACATATACATGATTGTTTATAAATCAGACCATCTAAACTCCATACGAGAAGACAAAAGTTCTACATATCCATTCCGAATTCAACCTGCAATAACTTACTTTTCCAAAATAAGCACAAGTGGAAACATAAATGTATATGATTTATATGATGACCCAAAGATCTGTTTTTCATTTTATAGGAATAGAGTAACATGTGAATTTTTATTGAGTAATAACCTAGTTAATTACTTTTCTTTCTTGCTCACTACACAAGTCTTGGTCACTGAAAGCCCATTCATTACATTTCGTTCTAGTATTATCAGCTCTCCGCTCATGGAAATCCTTGTGGTTGGGCCTAGAGATAAAAAAAAATTTGAGCCCTTCTTACAGCACCACTGCTAACATGCACCTTATTGAAAAGAAAGAATCACACCTCCTAATCACCTCAATTCATCCATCTGAACATCCATCTATTTCAACTCAAAAGGAAGGACAATAAAATGGTCTCAACCAAGCACCACCAGTTTAAATATTGCAAACCAGGAACATTCAAGCTATATAATGGTCTCAAGAAAATTCTATTGTTTGTCGGGCATGTACTAGTAGGACAATATTGTAGAACTTCTTCCTTAGCATTATCTTCTTGATTGAAAGCATTGCATCATACAGAGCCACCCCTATGTGTACACGTCTTTTTCTAGACATAATGTTTGTAAAGATGGAAACATATTCACCGTATTTGTTTTCTTGCTACTGCTTATCTAATGCATTTTATGTTCTGAGAAAACAACGAGCAAGACACATGAAAAAAGAATATAGAGACTAAACGAACTAATTGCCTATGAATATTACAAAGAAAGAAAAATAACTATATGAACCAAAAGGGTTAAAATCAGATAAGTATCACAAATAATTTTGCTACAAGAACGACATCTAATGTTTCAAAAAGCGTTAGGAGGCTCCTAGGCGGTCAGGAGGGTCTAGGCTGCCCAGCACCTAGGCGGGCGCCCAGAACCTGGGCGGCCCAATAGAAATATTTTTTTTTTGGGATTTCTTTCTCTAAAATAGCCTCCAATGGGTTTTAGGTTTTAAATGAACCTAAAACCCACAATTTTGCCCCTTTAGTATTAAAAAAATGAACCAAACATACCCTCAAGGAGCCGTAATTCCGCCCCTGGGTGGGGCACAAGCCCTAGGCGGCCGCTAGGCGCTGGGCGGTCCCCTTTTTGAAACAATGATGACATTAATAAATTGTATAGCTAAATATACTAATCTCAAAACACTGAATGCTTGGTATACAAGCATAATACAACATTGTGTGCACCACATAATATATATTAATACAGAGCAAATTTCAAAATCAGAACGTGAGAAATCAAGATGCCACAACATCTAAAGCAGAAACTAAACTAAAACAAATCAAAGCAGGTAAATATTCAAACTTACAACTTCCAAACTGAATTATATGGCAAACATCCCAATTCAATCTAGAATGATCTTGTCACATGAAGTAAACACAGTTAAAATTTTCCATTTCACGGCTTTCTATTACCCAATGAGAGATAATGCCATTTCAACAACAGCACAATTAAATTAAACCCCAGATAAAAGTAACTGGAAAAACCCAAGAATATCTCATTTTGTAAAGGAATTCCTCCATAAATTTCAGCCCAATGAGTTCAAAAACCAAATAACAGAAAACCCCTGAAATTCTGTAAGCAAATAACAATAGCATAGAACCCAGTTTTATAGATATCAAATCCTATTGCATAATACAACCTCCTAAATAAACTTTCAGCAATAAAAAAAATAAAAAGACTAAAGAATACTTAGACTATTAACTCATAAAACCAAATGAAAATTAGTTCAATGACACCACAAAAACAACATCAACAACGATAGCAATAATGATCAATTAATCAAACACCTAAAGGCCAAAACATTTTACATTATATAAACAAAATCAAATTAATCAAACTCTCGAGCCCCAAAATAGTAATTCTCAATAAAAAGAAAACTCACATCAAAATTTATGTGACAAACTAGAAAAATAAAACATAAATAAATAAACTAAGTGAATATGGGGGTTTTCTTCTTTGTGCATAACCAAGAAAAAAAAAGAAACAAAAAATCAAAATAAAAAAAAGAAACAAAGCTCTCTATAGACTTGGGGTTAATCTTGTTTGAGCTTAATAATAAAAAAAAAAGGAACCTAAATAAAAAATAAAATCTCATTTAGATCTGGGATGAACGTTTTTGAGCTCTAAATAATAAAAAAATTAAAAAAGGACTAGTAGCTTTCTCTAAATGCTTAGCTTGCAGCAACGGGGGCGATGAGGGGAACAGACCTAAGGCGAGGAGGACAGGAGTTGGTTGAGGGTTGAGCTTTGTTGGGGCGAGTGGCAATGGATGGTTGAGTTGCTAGGGTTTTGAGTGAGAAAGGGTTAGAAAGATGGATGGTTGAGTTGCTAGGAATTTTTCTTCTCAGAGGGTGGTGAGTTTTTTCTTCTCAAAGAGGTGAGTTAACCAAGGGTCCCTTGCGTGGATGAGATTTGGACTTTATAGCCCTGATGAGTTTTTCCATGTTACAACTTTTTGCTCATTAACTTTTCGTGAAAGTTGCTAAGCGGGGTACCAATGTTCCGCAACTTTCCCCAGTGAAATAGTGTTTTGGGGAATGTGGTGGTTCCAACTTTTCACCTTTTTGTTATTCCCAAACTAGGAAAAGCTATAGTATAGGAGAAAGTTGGGGACTTTTTCATGCATTCACCGTTATCAAATGCCCCTTAGGAGAGCAAGGGGAAGGCCCTAAAGAACATGAATGGATGTAATGAGAAAAGATATGATGACTTACAGTTTGACTAAGGGTATGACCCTTGATAGAATGGAATGGTGGCAGAAGATTCATGTAGCCAATCCCAAATAAAGCTCGGAAGATGATGATGAAGCCATCTAGACTCAATCTGACACTTTAAATTACTCTTTCCAATAACTTTAAAATGAATGAAATTTAATCACATCAAGAATGTAACACTGCATTTTCAGTTTGGACAAATCTTAAACCACAAGCAATAAAAGCAAACAATTCCTGGATTTAATAGAGTTTAGTTAATGAATCCACATTAAAAGAACAAAATTTTGTAAGCAATATCACAGAAAAATGGAAGTTAAGAACCTTAGAGGTGCCAAAATTGACAATTACACTCAAAGACCCACCACCGTCGCCTCTAATTACAATGAAATGAAACGATTCCTGCATTTAACAGTGTTTAGTTAATGAACCACCGTGGAAAAACAAAAAAAATTAAGCAACATCCCAAGAAAAATGGAAGTTAAGAAACCTCAGAGGTGCCAAAATGGACAGTTTTGCTCAATGACCCACAATCCTAGCCTCATAATTGCAACCTCAAGACTCAGAAAATTTGTACTCCCAAAGATACACACGTAAATAGAGTTTCAAAAAATAAAAGTTTTAATTACATTTAATTCTCTAGAGCCTTAAATTCCTGGATTTATAGTCACAAGATGATTTTTACTCGAGCAAATAAAATGTTTCAGAGCCTAATTAAAATGAAAGGAAAACGATATAATGACAAAGAAAGAACATAAAACAGATGAACATACCCCCAGACTTTGCATAAAACTTTCATTAATTTATTGTCAGTTGCAACTTGGAATTCTAAGTTATTTGCACTCTAGTTCTGTTACTGACCCGCTCCTAAATGTCATTACTTACTCTCATAATAAATAGACTTTGGGAACTCGTCAATCAGAAATCCACATAGCAAAATTCTACTTCCAATTCAAAAAATCTTCATCGCAATTCCACTCCTTTTACAAGACCTGTGTTTAAGCTATTTCTGTGCAAACTCATAGGAGTGAAATATTTACTAATCACAAGTAACAGGGGTCACAGTGAAATTTTTAGCCGACTGTAAATAGTTGGTCAAAGGCACTAATGATGATGATGAAATAACAGGGGTCTCTGTGGCCTTGGATTAAGATCCCAGATTACCAACGACAAAGCACCAAAAAAAAAAAAAGGTATTCCAATTAATAATATAATATATTCTTTAAAAAATAAATACAGTTCTTTGTTCCTTTTATTCTTTGCCTTAATCTAAGAAGAACACAAACTATTTTCTAATATCAATAAATAGGATCCACACATCATACATCAAAGGAAGAATTCTCATCACAAGACATGAGAATAATGTTGCATAAGAAAGGAGAGCACAAAACCGAAGGTCAGTTGTGTCGAAAAGGAAATTCTAAGTTTCAAGTCTATAAACCTATTATTCAAAACAAATAGAGGGGGACAACGTAGGGAGGGGACCCATTCACCAAAAATGGAATTCAAAGTGCATTTGACACATGAAACGCCCGTATCACACCCTCATTAAGACCCAATGCCAGTGTCACATCAAGAAATAAAGTCCAAAGAGAAAACAACCAATCCAAACCAGATAGAAAAAGCTATTTCAAAGTGGAGATACACACTATGAAGTGGTCACCATCCATCTTCTTTCTCCATCTTTTACTCTCCACCTTTCTCCATCTTCGGTAACAAATAATCTTGGTATGGCTTGAAACCTTCCTGCCATTGAGAAAATCTTTTCTTCAAGCATTTAAATATTTCCATCTCTTCTGATTCAACTTTGACTCTAGATCCACCAAAATTCAGCTTCACAGGGCTTAGCTGGTCAAAGAGTTCTGATGCATCTAGTTTCTCTTCACCTCGAGGATCACAATTTTTCTTATGCAATGCAGTAATAAAAATATCAAATCTGTGGTCTTTGTAATGTCCAAATTTTGATTTCCCAAAAGAAAGGTTTTCAAGGGGTGACTTCTCAGGATCCAAATTATTTGCCTAGGTCTCATGCAGAAATAAGTGCCCCTCTTCTTCGGGGTCTTGAGACTCAGTCCATGCATCATAATCATCAGAGAGAGGCACAACATAAGGCACTTTAGGTCTAGGACGAGATTTCAGCAGTTTCGAACTCTTGGCTAAACTGATGAGTTCTTGACATTGATTACCCATTTCAGCATCTACAGACAACCAATTAATCTCAAGAACAAAAGATGCTCTTCCTTTATCGATGATATGAAAAGTTAGCAAAAGGGGAACGGGGAGAACTGGCCCAACTAGATGGGGAGGCACTAGATCAATTACATCACCCTTCTCAGTGGGAGGACCAACTTGATCACACTTCTTAGTGGCCTTGGAGCGCGATCTCCCATAACTTTTCGATGGTACACGAAATGGAAACGGTGGCAATTGAGTGGAAGAAGAGCTAGGCATGGCTAAGAAGTCAGGACCAGTGTGATTCAGATCTGAATTCCTCACAAATGCCAACTCCACATAACACAAATTTAGACCAGTCCACATTCTCTTAGATATAATTTCATGAGCACTGCTAGGAGTATTTATGTCACCAAGAACATAGTCCATCGAGGGAAGTAAGCCAAACTCCACCTGACCTGAAGCTTTCTATGCCTCCAATATTAACTCCTTTGTAGCTTCAGTACTTTCAACATTGTTACAATGCATTGATCCTCTACTTGAAGTTTCTTCTAGTCTCGAATTCAAAACATCAGCAAGAGTTGGACCACCACTAAAGTATCCCAAGAAGTAATCAAACTTTTTGTGCAGCAATTTGAGATGATCGATGTCTTCTGGTTCCACATCTGAAGGAAATGTAGTCTTGGATTGTACCTGAACCGGTTTACAACTGGACTTTACACAAGAGAAATCCCACAAAGCCTGGTATTTCAATGTTTCAAAGATCCCATTACATGTCAGCCTAGTCATAAAGAAACCACTTGTACAATCATCTTCATGTCTCTCTGAACATGGCTCACTAAGTACACAAAAACCCAAAACCTTCTCACGCTTTTGCAGCTTATATGAATCTGTCCCGAATTCTTCTTTCAATTCACAATCAACACAACAACAATCTTGTGAAACCAAAACGATCTCAGATGGAAGACCCCAAGCATATAAAGAACCACTATCAGAGGTCCAACCTGGCTTCAAATCAACTATGGGATGAGGCCCATAACAAAAAAGGCTAAATTCACAATTTCGAAAAGAACCCACCAAAATAACGTAACCTGAATCAGAAGCCCATTTAAGTTTTCTATTAGATGGTCTTAGATCTGATAATCTATACATATTAATGTAACGCACATGATCTAGATGATGATCCCATTGCAATACAGGATCTAATGGCTTCCTAGTGTCAAATAGTAACAGATAGTATTTAGCAGCCACCGAGAATAGGAAACCATCAAAACAAAAGCTTGAACTCTATCACTCTCTATGAAATGGTGCTTGACAGAATCGCATAATTTGATCTTTGCTAAAACTGTAACCTTCACCTTCTTGTCCCTAAAATCAACCATCAAAACCGAGGTTTTAGAAGTAACAATCAAAACCCAATTGGGTGCAAATGGGCCATGCCAAAATTTAAGGCCCACTAGCTTACCAAGGTTGGCCCAATTGTATCCTTATATACACACACATTCACCAGAGTTACATTTTTATTTTCTATTTCTTAGGTATCGGGGCTGCCAAGCAATCCATAAAAACAAACCATATAACACATTGAAGTAACAAACTCATAATTTCGTTTTGAATAAGTTGACTATTGTATTAATACCGTAAATGAGTACAACTAAGAGGACATACAAAAAATAGGCAACCCAGTTTTTGGGTGCCCTATACAAAAGCCCATAAAGGGCCCAAAAAATGCTCTACAACAGATACACAAGAGAAAAAGAAAGAGAGGGGGGGTGGGGGGGGGGGGGGGGAGGGGAAGGGGGGGGGGAATGCAAGCTTAAAAAATGCTTGCAATTCCCTTGGTAGAGTTAAGACTTGCTCCTTCCCTACCTAAAGTGTCCGCAGCCTCATTGGCTTCTCTAAAAACACAGCTCCAGGTAACCCTAAAGGTGCTGGACATTTGAGAGATTTCTTCAAAGATGGTCAAGTCTCCAGGGTCATGGAGTTGCCTCGGAGGCCAAAGTAATGATGTTACAAGATTCACCTTAAGCTACCAATTCAGTGTTCCAGCTAGGGTCAGTCTTCGAAGCCCTTCAAGCAATGCTTTGCCCTCCATGGTAGTGGAGTCCGTAAATTCAGCAGGCAAGGAGAATGAAAGGAGGGTAGAGCCCTCAGAATTTCTAAAAATTCTCCCAATGCCAGAGGGCCCTGGGTTGCCAAGAGAACAACCATCGAAATTAAGTTTGATTTTCCCATCTTCCGACGGTCGCCACAATGAGGAGCAAGATATACTAAGAGTTGGCTGGTATAGGAATTCATGCCAATTGTGGTGAAGATGGGCAAAGGAGAAATTTTTGTGGAGTTTGTGGTTTCTAGCCCAAAAGGAATCTAAGGTACGGGATTTGCCTATCAAGTAAGGGATGGGAGCTACCTCCCCCCCCCCTAAAAATTATGCTATTCCTTTCGCCCCTAATTTTCTGCTATTCTTTTCTAGCTAATTGTCCACAACATAGCAGCAATAGAGGCTCTCCAAAGGAAATAACCAGATTTACTCCAAGGAGTATGTAGGTAGGTGGAAAAGAGTTGAGGGATTGACTGGGGAGTAACCCAATTCCATTTGCAAAGGTTGAGCACATTCGACCAAAGGGCTGATTCTACGTCGCAATGGATGAAGAAATAGGAATTTGTCTCTTCAACTCAAAGACACAGTGCATCTGTTAGGGAGGGATAGGCTTCTTCTCTGGAGTTGGTCAAGTGTTAACGCCCTTTCGTGCAGGGTAGTCCAACTGAAAACTTGGATCTTAAGGGGGGTGGACAGGAACCAGGCTTTGGCTGCAATAAAGGGGGTGGCAATGGTGGGAGAGGGAAGCATGGTAATAGCTCAATAGAAGGAGGCAACTGAGAAGGTCCCCGATGAGGCAGGTGACCAAATGATTTTATCTTCCCCAGACAAAGGAAGGAAACCGAGTGTAGGCGGGCTGAGAGTTCCGAAAAGTGTCCAATCTCTTGATTAGTGAGGGGCCTTCTAAAGTTCTAGTATTCCATGAGCAGGTTCCAAGTTCTAGTATTCCCTGAGCAGACAAATCATTCGGCCGCCGTAGAGTTAGGATATAGAGCGAGCAGAAGAGGGTGGGGAACTATTCTTTAAGAGGGTTGCCACCAACCCAAACATCATACTAGAATGAGATACTATTACCCAACCTTGGGCAATAACAGACCCAGTGGAACAATAGGCTACCACAATGTTGAAG